CATTAGGTTGCTGATAAGGTCATGGTAGATGTCATAGACTTAGCTGAGAAAATCCCATTCTTCAAAAACCCACATGCTGCTTTTATGGAATCATATACTCCCACCAAGAATTATCAATTCTACTTGGTTTCATAAAAGATTTCTACTGACTAAACCTGTCATTCAGCCCAGTCCCACCATGGGGTCTATAAACCAGGATCCAACTTCATTCTTTCAGAATAATGTTCCAAAGCATGAACCAATCTCAAAAACACAACACCACACCACAGAGACAGCTACATTCCAACTTCAGAATTAATTCCTGTGTATTCTTAGGACTTTGGCTCAAGGGATGAGACCAATACTCCCTTAAGTTTTAGTAGGAGTTAGAGAATTCTTTCTATTCCTGCCAATCCTTTATCTCTTCAGTCAATTACCAACCATGAGGACAATATCATTTTCAACCAGAAAAATCCATCCCCAAACCACTATCTTTGTTGATTCTCTTATTTCTAGCTTTGCCGAGGACCCCAACTTTGCTTCTTCTGTACAAATAGGGCTCTTTCTATTAAAATTTGCCAGTTACTGTATAGGTGGTTGGAATGCAGATATAAAGGTCATGGTCTTTAGTAAGTGTCCCTGTGTGAAACTCAGATGATTAAAAGGAACACATACAACATTGTAGGAACCAGCACAAAGCCAGCACAAAATAGACGCTCAACATGAGCATGTTCAGATGAATTTTGGTTCTTACACTGAGCCATAAGACACTAATTATATTTGGCTTGACATTTAAAGAGCAGCAATTATATGTGATTCCAGCTAATGAAGGTTCTGATGGGATTAATCATTAGGTATTGTTGGAGTATTGGGAAATATTTACATGGACAGAAGACCTAGCTTGTAAAAATTAAACTTTTCTCCTTGTTAGAAAAGCAACGTATCAGAGAAGAATCTTAAAGAATAAGTTCATTTGCACAATCTCTCCACTTTACTGCCACTCCTCATGTGTAATCCATCATCACCTCTCCCTTGGAGTACTGCAAGAGCTTCTTAACTGGCTTCTCTGCTTTCATTCTTCTTGAACTTGGGTATGAACTTGGGTGAGCATCCCTGTTCACACATGTACAATGGACAGGAGTTTGAGAAAGCTCCAAGAGATGCCGAAGGACAGGGAAGCCTGACGTGCTGCAGTCCATGGGGGTCACAAAGAGTTGGATAGGACTGAGCAGCTGAACAACATGAAATAAAAGAAATAAATAAACACATAAGAGACTTCCCTGGTGGTCTAGCAGTTAAGGGTCCACCTGATGATGCAGGGGACACAAATTCAATCCCTTGTCCAGGAGGATCCCACTTACCATGGAATAACTAAGCCACAACTGCACACAACTACTGAGCCCACACTCTAGGGCCAACAAGACACCTGCTGAAGCCTGTGGGCCTGGAGTCCACCCTGCACAGCAAAGAGGCCACTTCAACAAAGAGTGCCCCTTGCTCACTGCAACTCGAGAAAGCCCGTGCTTAGCAATGAAGACCAAGCACAGCGAAAGAGAAAATAAATAAATAAATAAAAACAAACTCTTGAGACCTACTTAAAAGCTTTCCACAGCAAAGGAAACCACCAATGAAACAAAAAAGACAACTTACTGAATGGAAGAAAATATTTGCAAATGATATGAGCAAAAAGGGATCCAAACAACTCAACATAAATGACTCATACAACTCAACATCCAAAAACCAAACAAACCAGTTAAAATATGGGGAGAAGAAATGAATAGACATTTTTGCAAAGAAGATATGCAGATGGCCAACAGATATATGAAAAGATGTTCAACGTTGTTAGCCATCAGGAAAATGCAAATCAAAACCACAATGAGGATTAAAGAAAAATAAAAAAGAAAGAAAAGACAAAACCCCAAATTGTAAATAGGAACAAGAACAAAGTAGCATATACACACAAAAGAGAAATAAAAACAGAACCAAAAACAAAACAAAACTCAAGAGAACAACCAGACAAACTAAAGAAACCAAAAAGGAAATCAAACAATTTTAAAAAGCTAAACAAACAAACCATGAAACAAAACCAAAGCAGAGTGCCAACTGAAGAATAAATCAAAGAAAGTAAAACAGACTAAAATGATCAGAAATAATTAAAAGATAATTGAAATGATTAAAAGCTGAAATCTTAACACTTTTGGAAATAGGGATGGTGTTTGAGAATTTGGGCTTCCCTGGTGGCTCAGATGGCAAAGCAACTGCCAGCAATGTGGATGACCCGAGTTTGATCCCTGAGTTGGGAAGATCCCTTGGAGAAGGAAATGGCAACCCACTCTAGTATTCTTGCCTGGACAATCCCGTGGGAAGAGGACCCTGGTAGGCTACAGTCCATGGGGTTGCAAAGAGTCAGACATGACTGAGCAACTTCACTTTCTTGAGAATATTACACTAAGTGAAAAAAATCAAGCAGAGAAAGACTGATACCATACGATTTCATTCCTTTGTGGATACAAAAACAAAATAAGTTAAAAACAAACATACAGATCAGTGCAGTGGTTACTTGAGTGGAAGGAGTTGGGAGGATGGTAAAATGAGTAAAGAAGGTCAATACCAATACAGTATATTGACACATATATAAGGAATTTAGAAAGATGGTAACAATGACCCTATGTGTGAGAGAACAAAAGAGACACAGTATAGAAGTATAGAATAGATTTTTGGACTCTGTGGGGGAAGGCGAGGGTGGGATGATTTGAAAGAATATCACTGAAACATGTATATTATCATATGTGAAACAGATCACCAGTCCAGGTCTGATGCATGAGTCAGGGTGCTCAGGGCTGGTGCACTGGGATGACCCAGAGGGATGGGATGGGGAGGGAGGTGGGAGGGGGTTCAGGATGCAGAACACATGTACACCCATGACTGATTAATGTCAATGTATGGGAAAACCCACTACAAGATTGTAAAGTAGTTAGCCTTCAATTAAAATAAATAAATTAAAAAGAAAAACATGAGAGAGGAAAAAAAAAGGTCAACTATATGGTGACTGATGGGAAATAAAACATTTGGTGGTGAGCATGCTGTAGTGTTTCAGAAGTTGAAATATAATTTTCCACACCTGAAATTTATATAATGTTATAAACCAAGGTAACCTCAATAGGGTGTTACAAACATTTCAAAGTCAAAATGCTTTTTTCAGAAACTTAAAACCCTTAGGGACAAATAACAGCTGTCAAAAGAACAATTTGCCGTATGACTCAGGAAATTCAAACAGGGGTTCTATGACAACCTAGAAGGGTGGGATGGGGAGGGAGATGCAAGGGATATGGTCGTACCTGTGGCTGATTCTTGTTGATGTATGACAGAAAGCCACAAAATTCTGTAAAGAAATTATCCTTCAGTTAAAAAATAAATTCAGTTCAGTTCAGTTGCTCAGTCATGTCTGACTCTTTGCGACCCCATGAACCACAGCACGCAAAGGCCTCCCTGTCCATCAGCAACTCCTGGAGTTTACACACACTCATGTCCATCGAGTCGGTGATGTCATCCAACCATCTCATCCTCTGTTGCCCCCTTCTCCCCCTGCCCCCAATCCTTCTCAGCATTAGTGTCTTTTCCAATGAGTCAGCTCTTCGCATCAGGTGGCCAAAGCTTTGGAGTTTCAGCTTCAATATCAGTCCCTCCAATGAACACCCAGGACTGGTCTCCTTTAGGATGGATTGGTTGGATCTCCTTGCAGTCCAAGGGACTCTCAAGAGTCTTCTCCAACACCACAGGTCCAAAACATCAATTCTTCACCACTCAGCTTTCTTTGTAGTCCAACTCCATCCATACATGAATACTGGGAAAAAACCGTAGCCTGACTAGATGGAACTTTGTTGGCAAAGTAATGTCTCTGCTTTTCAATATGCTGTCTAGGTTGGTCATTACTTTCATTTCAAGGAGTAAGCATCTTTTAATTTCATGGCATCACCATCTGCAGTGATTTTGGAGACCAAAAAAATAAAGTCAACCACTGTTTACATAGTTTCCCCATCTATTTGCCGTGAAGTGATGGGACCAGATGCCATGATCTTAGTTTTCTGAATGTTGAGCTTTAAGCCAACTTTTTCACTCTCCTCTTTCACTTTACTCAAGAGGATTTTTAGTTCTTCTTCACTTTCTGCCATAAGGTGATGCCATCTGCATATCTGATATTATTGATATTTCTCCCTGCAATCTTGATTCCAGCTTGTGCTTCCTCCACCCCAGAGTTTCTCATGATGTACTCTGCATAAAAGTTAAATAAGCAGGGTGACAATATTCAGCCTTGACGTACTCCTTTTCCTATTTGGAGCCAGTCTGTTGTCCCATGGCCAGTTCTGTTGCTTCCTGACCTGCATACAGGTTTCTCAATTAAATTTAAAAAAAAAGTAATCTGATAAAACCAGAATAAAAGAAAAATTTTCCAATCTTAGCAACAACAACAAAAGAACATTTCCCAATTCCAAGAGGCGTTCAGATCCTCCTAGAGATTTTGAAACCTTCTGCTCATGTGTTGAATTAAAACAACTCTTCCTTTCAACGGGGGAAAGCTAATGCACCTGACCCAGCATGATCCAGTGTAGGCAGTCAGCAGAGAAGGAGCCCAGCCCCTCTTCCCAGGGGTCAGGCCACACCATCCTCTGCACTATGATTGGCTCCAGCTCTTCACTAAGGGACATTTAATGATGAATAAGAACACTGCAAAACGATCAGCCAGCAGAGAGAGAGAAGAGAGAAAGGTAGACTAATCTTGGGTGCGGGGAAAGGTAGTACGGTCTTCATCAGGAAAAAAAAAAGACTCAGGACAGAGAAGTGAGAGGCTAAGAAGGAGCTCACTCTCAGCTTTGCCAAGAGTCAAGTAGTCTAAAAAGTTTTCAGTGTAGGCTTCTTACTTCAGGGAATAAAAGGAGAGGGAAAAGGTCATTCTGTAGTTCAATCAGGCGAGAAATAGAAATTCCAGGTGCCAAGCCAGAGATTCAAAAATTACCAGGACGATGACGTTTGCAGAAAAGCCTGAGGGCAACAGGAGCCTTGTAGACGAGAAGCAGCAGTACCTAGGTGCGAGGCATCAGGCAAACGGGAAACCAGGAGCAAGTGGGAAAGCCAGGCTCTCTGCAAGGCAGGAGGCAAACGACAAGTGCGACTTGCCCAGAAAAAGCCTCAACATGTACACCTGGCAGGAGATTCAGAGACACAGTCACGAGACTGACCAGTGGCTGGTGATCAATCGCAAGGTCTACGATGTTACTGGCTGGGCGGACAGGCATCCCGGTGGGCGCCAGGTCCTCAACCACTATGCTGGGGAAGATGCCACGGTAAGGAACTCGAAGTCTGCTCTCTCTCTCTGTTCCAGCGGCTGGGTGGCTGGGACCTTGGCTGTCTTTCCAAAAGTATTTCAAGTATGTGTTCAAGCTCCATGATCACTCATCTCTTCCCAAATCAATTTTTCAAGATTCCTATCCAGCAAAACTTGAAAGCTAATTGAGCCTGAAGGTCTAGCTATTATTTACACTAGGTTTGGGGTGGGCTCAGATGCTGACAGTAGGTACTATGTGTATTTCAGGTTTTGGTTTTTGTTCTTGGCATTATGTTTTTTTGTTTGTTTTGTTTTGTTTTGAAATGGAGTCATTGTCTTATAAGAAGAAAGTTACAAATAAGTGAGTAAAATCTGGAAAAAAATGTCTTCACTCAAGTAGAAATTTCTCAGATTCCTACAACTGGAGTATGTGAAACAGACAGCAATACACCAGGTGAGCATCAAAATGTTGAATGATGTTGAAAGTGTACAGTGACACAGGCTTTTAGACTTTGTAGAGTTCTTTTTTGTTATGTAGTTCATTCAATGTGATACAGGTAATACAACCCGCTTTTATGGAAGAAGTAACTGAAATCAGAAGTAACTGAAATCACTGGTTAAGTGACTGACCCAAGTTCATCCAGCAAGCAGATCTCAGATTCAAAACACGTATCTTGCTTAACCTTCAGTCTTAACCACTTTCCTTCACTGTTTTTCCTCATAACTCTCCTCCACCAAAATAGCTGAAAAAATAGACTTTCAATGGATGCTTAAAATACGACACGTCATGTGTGTAAAGTTGCTTCAGCTGCGTCCAACTCTTTGTGTCCCTATGGACCACATTCCGCCAGGCACCTCTGTCCTTGGGATTCTCCAGGCACGAATACTGGAGCGGGTTGCCGTGCTCTTTTCCAGGGGATCTTCCTGACCCAGGGATCGAGCCTGCATGTCTTACCTCTCCAGCACTGGCAGGAGTGTTCTTACCATTAGCACCACTTGGGAAGCCCGAAGACACCATAGACACATTCAAATGCGTGACCTCACTTAAGCCTCATCGTAAGGAAAGTGAATGGTATTCCCATATTAAAGATGGAAAAAACTGATACTAAAACATGAAAATAATGTATCTCAGAACACACAAATAACAGTGACAAATTTTTAGTTCAGATAGGCTTTTTTGTTTACCATAAAGCCCTTTATAGCTGATCTTAAAAATAAAATTTTCATTTAATATTGAAGAGGGACGTTTCTCAATCCTTAAAAGCATTTAGGAATCCACTCTAAAACATTCTATAAGAAAGTTGATTTTAGCCCAATTAGGACCTTTTTCTCCACATTATATGCATGAAGAAATGGAGAATAAAAGGTGTTAAATAAACTAATTCAAGATCAGAATATTAGCATATTATAGAGTAGAAATTTAAACAGTTTTTTTTTTATGTTACCCTTGTTGTTTTCATGATAGTATATAATTTTTCCAACTGGTTTCAAAGCATAGGATTAAAAATATTGATTCATGAAATTCTGCTCTGTGAGTGTTACCTGACTGATAAAAATAGAATACACAAGAGTATGGGAAGTCTGCAAAAAAAATAAAGATTTTGTTGTTTGACACTAGCAACATCTTCTTTCCCCAATTCTCATCTCCCTCAAATTTCTCAATTTCTCGGTCTAATCAGGGTCTTCTACCATCTTCTCATCTTGATTCTGCAGTCAGAGGAATGTCTTTCTGAGCAGACCCTTCCACATCCCCACCACTCCGGTCTGATGTGATATTTTTAAAACAAAGCTCAACCTTTTCCTGGGAAAGTGTGCATGAGCTTGTGGCCCATGATGGGAGTCTCACATGCGTCAGGAAGACCCTAGGAAACCAGAGAGCTAAGGATAGAAGAAGCCAAGTGACAGGCATTTGTGCAAGAATCAGGAGAAAGATTAACAAAAATAAAGGGAAAAAATACCTGTTGATGTATGACAGAAAACCACAAAATTATATAAAGCAATTATACTTCACTTAAAAAAATAATGTGACAAAAAAGGAAAAAAATATCACAGATCTCATCTCCACAACACAAAGAAAATATGGGCAATGCTTTTCTAACACAAGTCACAGAATCAGTTCAGAGGATGTTTTAGAAAAATATGTACCTTCAACCACCTTGAATATAACTGGTAGATGTAGCTTGCAGCAAGCAGCTCAGCTGATGAATTTGTAATTTGCTGGTGAGTTTTTATCTCCCAGAAGTCAGAGAAAGACCATGTTTCTGCACCCAATTCTAGTCAATAAGGAAGAATTGAACATTATGGGAAAATACGCATGACACCTTAGAATGTGTGACATGAGGATGAACACCCTGAGCATGGTCAGTCATGTACCCTAGATTTTAGAAGGCAGATCCAGAATGTTCAGAGAAAAGTCTCCAGGGGATGATGGCTAGAGAAGAATGGAAGGGTCCCAGGAGAACTCTGACAACCACAGTATTCCATGGCTGATCAGAGTACATGGAGCCTGAGGTGCAGTACACTGGTTACATAAGCCTGGGAAAGTCCCTGAAATGCTCTGGAATTCAGCTTCATCATCTACATAATGGGAACGACCTTACCCATCTAATTGGTAAATGAGACGAAAGCTTGTAAAGGGTTTAACCTAATACCAGATGCACCTTTCATTAAACCCTAGCTATTGTTATTCATATCACAGCATCCATAGCCTCAGAGATGTGACTCACATTTCTTGTTTACCACCTGCTTAGAAGTCCTGATTGTTTGTTGCCAACTCTTTGGGAGCAGAGGAGTATGTGGTGGAGAAACAGCATGCTCTCTAGGGAAGGAGGGGAGACCATGAAGTCAGAGAACCTGAGGTCAAATGCTCTCTCTCTACAGCCTAAAAAGCTGTACCCTGAAAGGCAAATGTGCTCCAAATATGATCTCTGTGCACAAGTCCTGGACCATAGCTGCACCTGCCCAGAGGGGAGCATCTTTCCTTATTTGCATAGAAACTCTTCCCCAAGCCTCCATCCTTCTCATGAGAAGTACATAATGATACCAAGGTAATTTGTTCCATAAGGTCACTCACCCATTCATTCATTCATGTGGTGAATCATTCTAAAACTTTTTTAGGTGTCCGCTCTAATGATTAAGAGTACAAATTTGGGAATGAAAGAGGTGTGGTTTGTACCTGGGCTCCACCACTTACCAGGAATGTCCTGAGAAGCTTGCTGAAGTTCTTGGAACCTCAGTTCCTGTATCTAGAAAGTGGGATAATGATACTTCTATCTTAGTATGGTTGTCAAAGTCAGTGGAGATAAAATAAAGGTTTTCTTCTTATACCTGGGACAGATTAAACACTCAAAAATGGTGTTTATTATTACTTAGTTATTCTGAGATAAGTTGTCATTTTTTCCAAGGAATTTTACTAGAGTAAGTTAGTCGCTCCATCATGTCCAATTCTTTGTGACCCCATGGACTGCAGCACAACCGACCTACCTGTCCATCACCAGTGCACAGAGTTTACTTAAACTCATGTCCATTGAGTCAGTGATGCCATCCAACCACCTCATCCTCTGTCATCCTCCTCTCCTCCCACCTACAATCTTTCCTAGCATCAGGGTCTTATCAAATGAGTCAGCTCTTTGCATCAGGTGACAAAAGCATTGGAGTTTCAGCTTCAACATCAATCCTTCCAATGAACATTCAGGACTGATTTCCTGTAGGATGGACTGGTTGGATGTCCTTGCAGTCCAAGGAACTCTAAAAGGTCTTCTGCAAAACCATATTTCACAAGCATCAATTCTTCGGTGCTCACATTTCTTTATATTCCAACTCTCACATCCATACATGAATACTGGGAAAAAAACATAGCCTTGAGTAGACAGACCTTCGTTGGCAAAGTAACATCTCTGCTTTTTAATGTGCTCTCTAGCTTGGTCATAACTTTTCTCCCAAGAAGTAAGTGTCTTTTAATTTCATGGCTGCAGCCACCATCTGCAGTGATTTTGGAGCCCCCAAAAATAAAGTCTCTCACTGTTTCCAATGTTTCCCCATCTGTTTCCCATGACGTGATGGGACCAGATGCCATGATCTTAGTTTTCTGAATGTTGAGCTTTAAGCCAACATGTTCACTCTCCTCTTTCACTTTCATCAAGAGGCTCTTTAGTTCTTCTTCACTTTCTGCCATAAGGGTGGTGTCATCTGCATATCTGATGTTATTGATATTTCCCTGTAATCTTGATTCCAGCTTGTGCTTCCTCCAGCCCAGAGTTTCTCATGATGTACTCTGCATAGAAGTTAAATAAGCAGGGTGCCAATATACAGCCTTGAGGTACTCCTTTTCCTATTTGGAACCGGTCTGTTGTTCCATGTCCAGTTCTAACTGTTGCTTCCTGACCTGCATACAGGTTTCACAAGAGACAGGTCAGGTGGTCTGGTATTCCCAACTGTTTCAGAATTTTCCACACTTTATTGTGATCCACACAGTCAAAGGCTTTGGCATAGTCAATAAAGCAGAAATAGGTGTTTTACTGGAACTCCCTTGCTTTTTCAATAATCCAGCAGATGTTGGCAATTTAGTCTCTGGTTCCTATACCTTTTCTGAATCCAGCTTGAACATCTGGAATTTCACGGTTCATGCAATATTGAAGCCTGACTTGGAGAATCTTGAGCATTAATTTACTAGCATGTGAGATGAGTGCAATTGTGCAGTAATTTGAACATTCTTTGGCATTGCCTTTCTTTGGGATTGCAATGAAACTGACCTTTTCCGGTCCTGTGTCCATTATTGAGTTTTCCAAATTTGCTGGCAAAATGAGTGCAGCACTTTCACAGCATCATCTTTTAGGTTTTGAAAGAGCTCAACTGGATTTCCATCCCCTCCACTAGCTTTGTTCGTAGTGATGCTTCCTAAGGCCCACAAGACTTCACATTCCAGGATGTCTGGCTCTAGGTGAGTGACAGCCCCATCGTGATTACCTGGGTCTTGAAGATTTTTTTTGTACAGTTCTTCTATGTATCCTTGCCACCTTT